ATAATGTAAAGCAAATTTTAAGAACACATTGTATTCTGTTTTTTTCATTAAAAGCTTTTCTAATTATTATAAAGTTAATGAAATGTTAACTAACAATATTTTTGTGGTTTTGGTGTATAATATATTATTTGTCAAAGTTACAATAAAAAAAAACGTTAAACCACATTACCATAATGATATTTAACTAATAGTTTCCTTCCTTTTATTTTTGACCGACTACAAAAAGGAAGAGGTATTGGGGTACTTAATTCTGCTGTAGCTAAAGGTATAGCTGTTCTTCACCAGCTGTGTGTCGATATTTATATTTTTTTAATAAATAGTTTGTATACTACAACCCTTGTGGTGATAAGAGTGAAAAAAATACCGTTAAATGATTTTGAAGTCGGTATATTTTTTTTATAAAATTGTAATATTAATTTTTATTACTTATTACTACCCAATAAAATAAGTATCATCAATTATGATTTTATCGCTGACTAATCCATACTTATATTATAAACTAGCGACTCACCCTCGCTTCGCTCGGGTTCGTCCCTAGGTACGTTTTTAATTAAAATAGATATACACAGTATGTTATCCTTAAGAGAGACATATGCCATCGCGGACTTTTCTGTAGACCTATATAAGATACACAATTCCACCATACATTATTTTGTTATATCTCAAAGGGTTTAGGCAACGTTTTCGTTGAAAGGTCCCAGACGTCTTATGTTTTCCGACACCTCCAACAAATATCGTTATTTTTTAACCAATGTATACAATAACTTAACAAATTATATATTTAAAGCCTTCCTCTTGAATCACTCTATCTATTAAAAAAACCGCATTTTTTGTATGTAATTTTGAAATGTAATAGAGCGCGGCGACCGATATATACAATAAAAATAATCCACATGAATCAGTATTCACGCGCGATGGCTTATTATTAGCGTATTTCATGTATAACTTTGGTGTTTCTATACCGATTTCTATGATTATTTTTTATGGAATAGTTAATAATGTTAATTTTTTTAATTAGGGATGACTGAGAGTGTTATAAACGTAAGAGTAGACAAATATAAATCAGATAGCTTCGAACTGCTAAGCTATCGGGAGTTACATGTGTTATTGTGAGTCAACCATATATATATGCTGTCATGGGATATTTTTTATATAATTTTAAGGAGAACATTTCCGTTATACATGATTTCTGTGCAGCTTTAACCATTAAGGTTGCACACGCGACGGAAGCTTAAAAAATGGAGTAACTTCTCCCGTTTTCCCAACATTTCCCTTCACTGCTCTGCTCCTACTGATTGTAGCGTGATGAAAAGTATACTTTAACCAGCTCAGGAGTATGAAAAATAATTGTACCAAGTTTCGTTAAAATCCGTCGAGTAGTTTTTGTTTCTATAACGGTTATACAGACAGGCAGACAGACAGACAGACAAAAATTTTACTGATTGCATTTTTGGCATCAGTATCGATCCCTAATCACCCCCTGATAGTTATTTTGGAAATATATTTCATGTACAGAATTGACCTCTCTACAGATTTATTATAAGTATAGATGTGAAAGTGTGTTTGTTTGTTTGTTTGTTTGTTTGTTTGTTTGTTTGTTTGTTTGTTTGTTTGTTTGTTTGTCTTTCTTTCACGTCGAAACGGGTTAAAGGATTGGCATGATTTTTTTATGGAAATTATTGGAGTAGGAGTGGAGAGAGTGACATAGGATATTTTTTACCGCGGGAGATTATCTCAATCCCACGAGAAAACACGCTATAATACAAACCAAAAACTATTTTTGATCAGAATTACTTGAAACTTGATAATAATACTCTTCAATAAAATCAAATAAATACGAGTTTTAGCTTTTTTCAAAATTCCCCCTATAAGGGGGTAAAAGAGGGGATGAAAGTTTGTATGAAACCCTACCTTTTTAGTGGTTTTGTTGTAGTTTCAGCGCGAGCGAAGCCGCGGGTTCTTCTAGTTATTTAATATATTATTATATTATGAATATAGATGTCATTGAGAAATAAAAATATAAGATTCTTTATGTAACACAAAAGGCTAAATCCGGTAGTCCTCTGGGCTTACAATATTATCTACGACGGACACGTTTTTTATATACTATTTAGGTATTTAGTGATTTGTGATGAAATTGTTTTTGATATATCCTTGTTCATTTCAGTTACGAATAAGTAATACTAATAAGTATAGACTTATAGTAGTACGTACACCCGTTTAATCATTTAAAGTAAGAAATAGAGAATGTTTAACTACACCGAAATACATTTTTTTTTAATTTATACTAATATAATAAATGTGAAAGTTTAGATGTTTGGATGGATGTTTGTTACTTAATCACGCCAGAACAGCTGAACGGATCTAGATGAAATTTGGCACAAGTTATAGCCTGGAATAGCACATAGGCTACTTTTTATCCCGAAAAAATGTACGGTTCCCGTGGGATAGATTTCTTTTTGTTTTTCGAACAAGCGTTCGTTGAAGCGAGGGTGAGCCGCTAGTATATCTATGTATAGCACATTTATAGCCGTAATAAGGAAGGATTTAAAGTTCAGGGGATAAAACTAGATATATATGGGCACCGGGAACAACGGTATTTACTTATAATTATAAATCTTACTTATTCAAACAACAGCTCAAGGTAATTATAAGGTTTTATGATATTAAGGTAAGTATAATGTTTTGAATTGAAAGTATCTACTAACAATACAATACTAATTTATAAATTTATTTATTGATCTGATTTACACGTTGTGGAATTTTGTAAGAAAGGTCGGGTAAGTGAATTAGGCCATATGTACAATAACATTTTCCCAATTTGCAAAGAGAGAAAATATTATGACGGCTATGATGACTGATTATCATATGATATATTGACTGAGGAATAAACATTCTTATTCAAAAATACGTAAACTAAGTACAGTCGGTTTTCGATGATGTCGGCGTAGTTACAAAACTACTTACAAGGCATTTTAAAGTTACCTATTAAATTTATTACTCTGTTTCGAGAGTGAAATAAACATTGTTGCATAGGCATAAGGCACATAGGCATATGCAACGGTAATACCCCCCGATGTGTGTTCATATTGTCATGGTGCGGAGAGAGGGGGGGTCTCATTGGCGTCTGGCTATCCTACCGGGCGTGAAGCCATGAGACACCCTATGGGAGGGGGAAGGGTTGGGGTGGGGGTACAGGAGGCCACACGGCGTCCTGACGTTCAGGCTGACGCAGATGCTTACCGGGCACGGGTGCTTCGGTAAGTATCTGTTTCAGATTGCACGTCGGGAACCGTTGCCCGTATGCCACGAGTGTGGTGCGTCCGAGGACACCTCGCACCACACCCTCGCGGTATGCGCCGCATGGACTCCCCAGCGCCATGCCCTGATGGCGGTAGTGGGTGGAGACCTTTCGTTGCGAAGCGTGGTGGGGGCCATGCTACGCGACGCTAGGTCCTGGTCGGCGATGGTCTCCTTCAGTGAGACCGTCATCTCACTGAAGGAGACGGCGAAGAGGGAACGCGAGGCTAACGCCTTAGCAGACCCTCTTCGTCGCCGTCGGCTGGGGGGAGGAGGCGCCGGTATGCGCATCTTCTCCCGCCACCCTAGAGGAGCTACCGCGGGGGGGTCTCTCATTGACTCCCCTGCACGTCATCGGGGCGGTCGGGATGCCCTGCGAACCGAGGGCATCCGATAGGCGAGGCTGGCCCGCGTGGTACGGGCCGTCCGCAGGGGTGTTGCAGTGAGTGCGAAAGCGATCCTGCACGCCCCATTGCACTGCGGCGAAGGGTTCCGCTGTGGGTTTTAGTGAGTAGGAGTCTCACAGTACCCTGCCCATGACGGCGGCAGGGTCCCCATGATGGGTTTCCCCAGCGAAAACAAAGAAAAAAAAGAGGGGGGAGGGGGGGGGGTGACCCACATCGGTTAGCGATGTACCATGCGAGTTGTTCCTGGTACTTCTCTGATAGCAGAGTGGACTGTGGGAGCAACCCCATGGTTGTTGTGGTCTGCTTTGGCAGGCCTGTTGTCGGCGCGTCGTCGTTGGGTGCGAAAGCGATCCTGCTACGCCCCATTATGACGGGGAGCTTTCGTTGAGTTTTAGAGGGTAATACTGGCTTTTCTAGTCGGAGAGTCCCACATAACCATCTGTATGTATGTAGGTGGTACCTATGCGAAAATGCATTTCCCAAACTAACAAAAAATAACAAATCGAATCAGTTTAGCATTTTCAATTCAATTTTCTTTAAAAAAAGTAGTTTCAGAATAATTTTTAGTATCTAATCATTAATGACTATGAGAAAGGTGTTGACGATGATGTTGCTTATCTTATTTTGTGGTAGAACTACTTAAAATCAAATAGGATAAGAATAAATATAAATAATAAGAAAAGTATAGAAAAATTTACTTGTATTATCTGTTTCCGTTTGTTTTGTTTGTCTGTTTCCTTTTGGTCATTAATTCTTTTAAGCCACATTTTCGATCCTGAATCGTTTGAAATTAAAAAAGGATCCAAATAAAAGCTTTTTAATGTTATTATCTAGATCGTTTTTGCTATCGCTCGTTATTTATTCTATAATCCTGTATTCATGTTACATTGTAAATATACAAACTGTGAAACAATATATTACGTGTTAAACGTATCTCCGTTTGAGGTGTTATATTATTAAAGAGAACTTGTACTGAATTGTAAATTAAGTATATTATATATTTAGATTCAAAAGTGCTTGTAAAAGTCTATTAGAATAAAGTATATTTTAATATATTAGTATATATTATATAGTATATACACACAGGTATGATGAGTTTTATATCCCATACTTGAGAAATGTTACAAAAATATTTTAACAGTCAAGGTAAAAAAACACAGCTTGAGTATAATTGCTAACATGTATGTATCTAGAGGTTGGACAAAACAAAAGTACATTCACAGAGGTGTAACAATGTATGTATACAACATGTACAATGATTATTTTTGAATTAGCAATATATGTAGTTTTTACCTGTGATAAATTAACAGATTTTCTGCTATCGGTGTTGCTCGGTTGCCTTGAAAATGTTGGAGGATGTATGCTGAGAGGTGAGCCAGGTTCAGAATCAGTCTTACCTTCATTACTACTGTTTCCCGCATGTTCCTGGTGGGCAAATTATTTTTATTTAATAATATAACAAGATTTTTTTATAAAGTTTTATTTATTTTATAAAGTTTCAGTGGCCTACCTTGATTTAAGCTAAGTATTTACTCATGTATGGGTTTAATCAAGAGATCTCATTATTGTACGTTGTTATTACATAAGTATCGTTAAGTGCTAGAACCTAAAGATTTCATCGAATATTAAATCTAAATGACTGACGTATGAAATTACAGCAGCAGTAGCTCATACGTTCTAAGTATTGATTTTATCTAAAAATATTATGCACGTTTTCCAATAATGAATGGCATGTAAAAGGAAACTAATGTGAAAATAGCAAAGGTTGCTAAACTTTTATTACAAAAGTTATTGTATTTTAAAGACGTTGCACGTTGTTTTAGAGAAAGATTCTCAAGAATTTTGTCTGCAGTTTAGGGTTCCGTTACTTGTTTTTTTTTATGTATTTTATACAATCGAAAGCGTTTACTTCTTAAAATTAACTTATTATATGTATTTTAAGTAACATTTAAAAAAATCTTTCGTACGTAGAATATATTTGTATTACGAAAGTTGATTTTAATTAAGAAAAAGAAAAATCAATGTCTTGTAATGAAGTATTCAAGCCTGAGTGGAGTAAACGAGTTTTTGTTCGTTATTTACCTTTTTCGCTTAGTAACGAAGTCGAATTCGATAGAATTTATTACATAAAATTATGTTACTTTTTATCCCGATGTTTTTCGATTTAAGATCCCACGGGACTTGTCTGGAATATTAGTTCTTTAAAAAAGCTAACAACCATTTAGATTCAGTTTAAGTAATTATAGATTAATGAGACACGTGCTGAACGAAAAGTAATACTTTGCAGTTTGTATGAATTTTATTTATATTTCTTTAGTATAAAAAAATACGAAAAACCAAATTTTTCAAGGAAAATGGGTAAAATAACAAAACTTAGATACGAAGAGTAGAAGAGAAGATTCGTAGACTAACTAAAGACTAACATTCATTTAAAATTTAAATGTTTTACGGATCGGTAACTACGAGTACAAGAGTAAGTAGCGTTTATTTTCATTAAGTTTTGTTTTGCAATTCAAAATGATACGAGTATTTATATGTGAAAACGTTATATTTTATAAAGATCACACATATTAGTATTTTTGCAGTATCTACAGATTACAAAGCCTTTTTACGCGAGTTTCTCCTATAAATAAAGAAAGAAAAACCTGTAAGTTTTATTGGAGTCAGCATTACGTCATTAAGGCGACGCATGTGCTGAATTTGATATTAGTTCCTAACTAAATGATTGGACAAGTTCTAGGTGGGAACTTAGCAAAAAACATAATAAAATAATATTTTAGGAAACATAGTAACATTTTTGGAGTGTTTAGTTGTTCGAGTTTGTTCGAATATGTATATATGTATGTATATATATCTATATGTATGTATATACATACACACATATATATAATTTATATATATATATATATATATATATAATATATATATATATATATATTATATATATATATAATTACCTATACAATATATATATAGAATACCTATATTATTTTATTGGATACCATTTCCCTTTTTTATTAATTTTAAATGAGGTTGAAAACTAAAAAGAAACCTATTTAAAAGTTATCACGCAGATACACAAAGTTTACAATATTAAATTCATAAATATTAAGACGTAAAATTTAATAAAGAGGTAATTAAGCCACACATTTTGGTTTATTTAGCTATACGAACTTAATTTCTGTAAACCAATGTATTATAATATCTTAATTGTATTGTTCCTTTATTCTATTTAGGTATTACACGGTTCTAATTATGAAACATTAAACCAACTTCGTGTAGATTGCGCGAATAGAATATGTATCTACTGTATTTTTTAAATAAATATAAATATGTCAGGACATTAACACACAACACCATCTAGTTCCACGGTAAGCTACGAGGCCTGTCTTATGGATACCAGATAGTTGATACATTATACATATATAACTTTTTAAATACATACATATTATAAATATAAACACCCATGACTGGAGTACAAGCATTCGTGCTCAGCACACAAATGAATGCCCCCAGCGGGACTCGAACCCGCGACCGCTGGCGCAGCAAGTAGGGTCACTACAAACCGAGCCAAACGTGTCGTTTTAAAGTTCTTTATATTATTAATTAGTATTTACATTTCAACCTAACTTAGGATACTTTGTCATTTATTAATATATCATTTACTATTAAAACTAATATATAATAACTATTTTAGTTATTCTTAAAATTATATTCAAATTTAGAAATACTTTTTAAATTATTGCGATTTCTATGCGACATTCTCAATCTATATAATATGATAAAGAGGTAAATTTTGTGAGTTTGTGGGATTGTGAGTTTGTGACGTTGTAGGGGGTAATCTCTAGATCTACTGAACCGAAGTAGATGAAATTTGGTAAGAAGATAGTTTGAGATCCTAGGAAGGACGTAAGATACTTTTTATCTCGGAAATCATCCCTGAAGTGGGTGAAAATGGGGGTGAAAGTTTGTTTTGGGAAGCAAGCTAGGGGCGAACCTGAGCGAAGCGAAGCGACGGTGAGTCGCTAGTTATATATATATAAAGTGATGGACCGGCACGATGATTTTAATATAAGGACTTGCTATAACGTACCTACCTACGTACCTATGTCTCTATTTTGATGTATCATCAGCAATCAAAAGAAAATTGAATGTAACAATTTATAATAGATAATGTGACAGAGAAAAATGACGGTCATTTTTTAGACAGACAGCCTTAGCGTTTGCAGCAAAATAAATTCCTTAGCTAGAAAATAAATGATATATTTTCATTTATAATTTTCTTAAACAAGTCTAGGTTTAATTCTGTCAAGCGAAATAGTTTTGTCAGATATTTAATAAATAAAGAGATGAGTCATATCATATGTATAAAACTTGTTATAACAATTTTATCTAAAATCCTAATACTCGTAGTTCAACCGGCTAGTGGCTTGTGTTTGTAGTATGGTTTTTGTGCTGTGGCCAAGTGTTCGTTCCCAACGTAGTTTTTTTTAATATGACGTCGGTCAATCTCCCTGAGACTATGCATTTACGCAGGCAATATTATAGAGTCTAAGTGTGTACACAGACACAAGTTCACTCTCTATTCCTATCATTCAGAAAGTAAGTTAGTACGATGACCATTGTGAATCTTAATTCACATTGTTCGTGTCGAAAGCCGAACGTATATCTTAATGTACGTACGGATTTACGTACTCTCCAAGACACGTTTCGTGTAACTTCTCTCTTTAGTCTTAGATCTGAAACTGAGGTTTTTCTCGAAAGGAATCTCCAATAGCTATACATGGTCCAGTCCGTGATACTAATTCAGGATCTACACTGCTGCGCATGCAAGTCACTAAGTCAGAATCGCGTAGTTGATTGTTGTAATTACTATTATTTCTTTAATGGATGATATGAATATGCATGAGATATGTAGTGAGAAATGTTCTCACTTAATAAAAAAAACACTATGATGTACATGCATATATTATAGTTATACAGTATCAACAAATAAAAGGTACATACATATGTATATATGTATATCGTTCTTACCTGTAGTGATTTAGCGAGTTCCGAGTCATTGTACCTTCCGGTAAATTTTCTATCGGGTAATATATATTTCGGTAAGGTTTTGAAGAACCATGCGCCTGACTTTTTCCACATTTCTCGAGTTTCGGCGCAGAGGTTACACATATATTGTTCTCTTGAGTAAATTGATGACCTATGTAGATAAAAATCAAAATTATACGCGAAAATAGACATTTTTAATATAATTTGCGTTATAAAACATAAAAAACATACACCTAATATGATTGCCAGCTTTATATAAATAAATAAATAAATAAATAAATACAAGTAGATCACGTTCATGGCTGTATGATAGGCATAATTGGTCAAAATTGAATCAATTCACGCCGTGCGCTGTGCAGAAATATACTGTTTAATATTTTTAAAATAGAACATTGAAAATTACGTATTTTATATATTAACTTAATGCACTGTGCAGATAAGTATTTTCTGTCTTTGGCCTATACTTATAACTTATTATTATTTCCATTTTCTTATATAGGTATTTTTTATTTCCATATTTTTATTTAACTTTTTTTTCTTCTTTATAAAACCCATAAAAGCTTTTTTTTTATTCTTAAACGCTCTCGCTTCCTTAATAATATTTTAGTTTTTATATTCACTTTTAGATTTTAGTACGTACTACTTACCTTTGGTGTAGAGTATCGATAACACATTTGGGGCAGGCAGAATTTCGGCATATAGAGCACGTACGTAAAGGAGCAAGTAGTTTAGAAGTCTCGCCGCACAAAATACAGCATCGTGGGGCAGGGCCTTGCGCAGATCTTCGCATTCCTATTGAAAAAATAAATTAAAAATAATCTCTTCTTTCTCATATTATGATATTCTCCATATATGCTATTGTCAAAATATCGTTTTCTTAAAATCAAACAAAGATTTGCGTTCTTAAAATATTAGTACCTGGGCCACCGAGCTTTGCTCGGAGTTTTTGGTTAAAAAGTTCAATTTTCTTAAAAAAAAAACTAAAATATTTGAATAAATACAAAAAAAACAAAAAAAAATTATACCTTTGTATCCGACCGGGATTAGAACCCGGATACTTATTCAATCTTGCGCCGTGGCCGCTTGACCATATATCAAATATAATATTTTGCGTGGAATAATGCAAAAGAAAACCGCATGAAAATTCGAAAACGCGCGTTTTCCCAGAGGACTAATCTAGATTGATTTATCGCCCCCGAAACCCCTTGTATACTAAATTTCATGAAAATCGTTGGAGCCGTTTTCGAGTTTCACATTATATATTGATATATATACAGGAATTGCTCGTTTAAATATATTAGATAAATATGATCAAAGGCAAGGAGTGATCATAAGATACAACATAAGCTGAAAATATAATAAAAACTTTTTATAGTACAGAAACATATCTATTAAATGTACATAGATAGTTTTAGGCAGATAAATATATCTATTAAAAAGACATTTTAGATAAACTAACAGTATTTATATTTCACTTAAGTACAGAAATAGATAGATAAGAACACCAATAGGTACGTCATTACATATTTTTGTCCAATAAAGAAAATTACGCTATCTTTTAATATATTAAAGATCCATATTTGTTATTTTCGTTACGATAAGCCATTCGGCAACCTTTCCGCGATAGTTTTGTTTGTATACTATGTTTAATACCAAACACTTGTTATCCTGCAAGCAGATATGTAAAGGTGGGCTACTTCACCTTACACTAAAGTTTACATACATACTACGAGTATGTACTTAAAAAATATATTTCAAAAATGTATATTATAAGAAGATGTCTAGACACTTCCAGTAAATTATAGCTTAAAGCCTTTTTTTCTTTGCAAAAGTTTTCCATTACAACATTATAAAGAGTACCTAATTATAAAATTTTCTATGACCATCTTCAATTTTGTGGTATTTTTACTAAATATGGTGTAATGATATATATTTTGTTCACAATATAAATTAGATGAAGTAAGCTCACGAAAGTATGCTAAGGCATTTAAAAAATCCACAGATCTCGTGTCTGCCACAACCTCAGTTAAACTTACTAATAGTTAAACAAACTGAAAGTTAAACTAACTGACAGTCAAGCTCAACAGTTTAACTTACTGGCAGTTAAAATAACTGACAGTTAAACTTACTAGCTCGTAATAAAACTAACAGTTAGTCTTACTGACAGTTAAACTAACTGACAGTTAAGGAAACAATTAGTTAAACTAACTGACAGTTAAGCATACTAGCCGTAATTTAGCTTACTGTTAATCTAACTGACAGTTAAACTCACTGACAGTTAAACTCACGGACAGTTAATCTAACTGACAGTTAACTTTACTGACAATAAATCAAACTGACAGTTAAACTTACTGATAGTTAAACAAACTAACTGTTAAACAAACTGACAGTTTAATTTACTGGCAGTTAAAATAACTGACAGTAAGACTTGCTAACTGTTAATAAAACTGTCAGTTAGTCTTACTGACAGTTACGTTACTGACAGTTAAACAAACTGACAGTTATACTTACTGACAGGTAAACTAACTAACAGTTAAACTAACTGACAGTTAAGCTAACTGACAATTAAGGAAACTATCAGTTAAACTAATTGACAGTTAAGTCAACTACCCGTTAATCTAACTGACAGTTAAACTATCTGGAGGTTATACTAACTAACATTTAAACTAACTGATGGACAAATTAACTGACAGTTAATCTTACTAGCCGTTAATCAAACTGACAGTTAATCTAACTGACAGTTAATCACACTGACAGTCAAGCTTACTGACAGTTAGAATAACTGACAGTTAAACGAACAGACAGATAACTAACTGACAGTTAAACTAACTGGGGGTTAGACTAACTGACAGTTAAACTAACTGACAGTTAAACTAACTGACAGTTAAACTAACTGGGGGTTAGACTAACTGACAGTTAAACTAACTGACAGTTAGACTAACTGACAGTTAAACTTACTGACAGTTAAACTAACTGGGGGTTAGACTAACTGACGGTTAAACTAACTGACAGTTAAACTAACTGGGGGTTAGACTAACTGACAGTTAAACTAACTGACAGTTAAACTAACTAGCCGTTAATCTAACTTGCTGTTAAACTAACTGACAGTTAAACTAACTGGGGTTTAAACTAACCGACAGTTAAATTAACTCACTGTTAAACTTACTAGCCGTTCATAAATCTGACAGTTACTCTTACTGACAGTTAAAAAAACTTACAGTTAAACTTACTACTGGTAGTTAAATTAACTGACAGTTAAACAAACAGACAATTAAACAGTTAAGCAAATTCACAGTTAAACAAACCGTTAAAGAAACAGTTACACAAACAAACAAATAAATAAATATAAATATATAATATAAATGTTTGTTTGTTTTTTTAAAGAGAAAAGGGGGCGGAGAGGAGAGGAGCGGAGAGGGGATGAGAGGAGAGGAGAAGACAGGCGAAGAAGATTTGCGAAAAAGAACTACAATAGACAGGCCAAATCTCAACAACAGGTTCCTCTCTTCTTCGCCTTTTTCTCTCCTCTCCGCTCCACTCCTCTCCGCTCCACTCCTCTCTTCTCCTCTGCCTTTTCCTTTATTTTCCTGTAGTAAAAGATATCTTAAATATCCTAACCAATATAAATTTCGCTTGATTACTGTTTTATTATATGTATAAATATTAGTTGGTTATTACTTTAAACACATATTTATTTATTCACAAAGAAACACTTCGGTCCAAAAACAAAATCACGCTCCAAAATATTTATTCACCGTCATTATCGCGCTCACGCACTCCCGCGTGAACTCTGCGTCACAAAGGTACAACTTTTGAATAACCCATCAGTGATATGAAACTCCAATATTTTTTAAATGTAGGCCGAAGTCATATATCTAGGGGTTTTTTTTATTTTTCGATATCTTATTTCATTTCGAGATATGATTACTTTTCTGACCGAAACCGAGCGAAAAGCGATCGCATTTTTCACATTTTTTCGATTTAAAATAAAGCCTTTGAGTGTGTTCAAATTTTTTTTGTAGTCCTTATTCAGACGCATATTTTAACATCCCAATAAACCACGTAGTCCCAACATCCACGACACCAGGGCGATGTCGCACTTTCGCTGAAAATCGGGCCTATACTGAAGTGACAAAAAAAAAATTTTCAATGTTAAAAAACCGATTCGAAGAATTTTTTACATGATTCTTTTGAGAAATAAATGATACAAAATTATATTATTAATTATAATTATCTTAGACAAGCGACTCACCCTCGCTTCGGTCGGATTCGTCCCTATATTATTATTTATTATATACTCGTAGTTTAACAATAATATAAATGGAAGTTTGACCGATTTGTTGATATTTATGATTACTGCTCCGTTCCCTTGGGTAGTAGCATGATGATATTATATAATATAAGCCTTACTCAATAAACGGGCTATCTAATGCAAAAAACAATCAAATCGGATTAGTAGTTCCTTAGATTAGCGCGTTCAAACAAACAAACTCTGCCTCTTTATAATATTATTGTTTAAGCTTCCGTAATTTAGTTTAAGTTAGTTATAAGCGATTTTTTGTATAACAAAGTTATTGCGGTCAAAATTAATCAGGCGCTTCGCCATATGTATCTCTTTTTGCATACTCATTGTCAATTGCTATTAAAGCCCCTTACTGACCGGTTGATTTTTATTTTATCATCGCCTCATCACCCGTGATTATTACCAAATTAATTTATACACCTCTAGCCCTCTTCATGGTCCTTCGAGCCGGATAAAAATAAAGGAAATATTTAAACAATATTAAAAATAATTAAAAAGTGACCAAGTGCCGTATGGAGTATAGAGGTGAAGATTGTTAAATTCGAGTGAGTTATAGACATTAAGTGCTTAAAATAAAAATCATTGTTTATCATTATATTTATTAATAAAACCCAACATGTCTACAAATTAAACATTAAATCAGGTAATTAAATCACGTTAAGCACGTGTGACATTGGGCAAGGTCAGTAAGTTAAAACTTTACTACAAATATCTACAAATGTAATTAAAACAATATATTAACAATAAATTTGATAAAATATAATATTAGGTATAGTTTATCAGTACTTAAATAATACAGTACAGTAACTTATAAATGTTACATTAGATAACTGTTCCTAGTATAAGTATTTTTAATTATATTATATAAACTTCAAATATATGTTATAAATTTTACATATTCAGTTTAAATATTTTTTTTATTAAAATTTACTTACAATTATAAAGTAACAGTTTAGCAAATAATTTATTTGTGAGCTTTAGAAATACATATCTAAGTTATTTCGAAAATTATTGTTAGATAAAATAATTTATCAATTATCAGTAAAACAAGTTATCACTTTTATTTTGGTTGTGATTTATTAGTTACTATATCTCTAAAACCTTTGTTTGTAAAATTTCAGATCGACATCGTCTGTATCCCAAAATGACTGACATTAAGGAGCTTAAAAAGAAGCGTGGCAGTTATAAATGTAGATTAACAGTTTTTGGAAATTATTTAGGTACTTTAAATAATGCCGAACTGACCGCCTGTCAGGCGATGGAGTTACAATTACGAACAGATAAGTTAGAGAGCTTATACAATGAGTTTAATGAAGTTCAATCACAATTAGAATGCTTAACGGATAACATTGACATTGAATTAGTTGAACGAACCGCTGTAGAATCACAATATTATTCATTATTAGCTCAGGCTAAAAATTTTATCAATATATATTCAAAATTAGAACAAGATGACGTAAAATCAACTTCTAGTAACTCTAAGCAACAG